TGTGAGGCTGCTTTATGTAGTCTGCTCTGTAATCAGTTTCGACCCTCCTTAGAAAAACGCGTACTCCCACGAGAATGGAAAAGTGCTATTTTCTTTCCCATATTCATAGGAGGAGACAGGCTAAACCTGAAGTGATATCAACCCAAAGGACTTTTGGCGGTGCTCTCTAAAGTAATGGACGGCTCGATAAATGGCCATGTCCGAGAACATCCCAAAAGGGAGCTCTAGTAATGCTAAGAATGGGCTGGTCCTACGTCTTGGATCTTCTGGCAGCCGAGGGAAAGCATTCCGGGAACTTGAAGTTCTTAATTATGCGATTTTTCTGAAAGTTGCCAAGGCCTGTGATGCAGCTCCACATCCAATTCTCACGAGCAAAACAGCAGGGCTGAGTATCAGCGGTCAGATACCGCTCTTGATTTAGGACCATTTAGACCGTTAAAAGTCGTGTAAAAAAAATCAACAGAGTTTACCCAACTTCAAGAACATCATCTGGTTCATCACGAGAAGCGATTTAGGGTCTGTTACTGTTTCCTCCAGTCTCGGCTCCCTGATTCTATTTTATGCTGACTACGTGAAGTTATGGGAAGCTGTGGCGTCTGAAAGAGAATCAGGCCCACTGCGAACTGACCTCAAATTACTGGAACAGCACTTAAAGCGAATAAGTGCTTGACCATTTCACTCCATACTCCCGACTAACGGAAAGTATCTCACTGCCTCTGTGAAGTATGACGTTCTCCCACGACCACGGAGCAAGACTAGTACCAGTCGACAAGCTAGACGCCAGTTGCAATTACCGAGGTATCTTCGGGACCTGCTCAGTGCCATGCCTCATTAGTAAGGAACTAGTTATCGTCAACTCGGGAATCCCTTTGCAGTTCTGCACGAGGTATGTGAGATCTTACTTTGAGGTCCACAACGTCATGCCTGAAAGATGTGAGCCTCCTAGAGAAAGTCCAGTGGAGAACATCGAGGGGTTTCGAGGGAATGCAGTGAAAACCCTGTGAGAATGGACGAAGGGTCCGGATCTTTAATTTTTTGACTGCCGAAGGTCACATGATAGCGTGCCAATATACTAGAGGATAACTGATAATCCAAGTCATCATGACAGTGGAATCCGGGTAAATGGTCACCGTAGCAATCACCGCAGAAACAGAAGGACAATCGTCGGCCATTGTGTTAAAACCCGTTTGCCTTCAAACCTTACGTCTTCCCAAGTTTTCTGAAGACAGAAGGCATTATCCGCCGAGACGGCTACTGCTCCATTTGTCGTCAGCTTGAAGAAGAAGTTGGAAAGCGACGTAGAGAAGGACGGCCTGCACTCGCTTACCTGGAGTACGGACTAGGTCAGTACAGCCAACTAATTCCGCATCATTCCGGCACAGTCAACCCTAAGCCGGCCTTTTCGCACTTCTACTATCATCGCGTACTCCAAGCATACTCATACTTCTCTGCCAAATATCTCACCGGTTTCCATACTCACTAATAATGTTACTTCTATTCCCTTCATCCCTACCATAACCCTGTCCTCTACCACTCCCCCCTCTAGCTCTATGATTTCGCTATATTTATCAAGATCCTCTTCAGTACGGTTCCCTTACCTGTGCGCCCTAAATCCACTTACATTTCTCCGTTATTTTCGCTCTGCTTCCTTCGAAATTGTTTCTTCTCACCTTTTCTCTCTCTTCTTCGGTGGATGTGTTTGTTCTTCCTATCTTCTTTATATAAACGGTCCAAGCCACTGTCTTTTGACACGCGATTTGAGGAACCATCTACAGTACAGCTCTTGGAAAAGCTAAATAACCCCCCCCTCCCCCACAAATTTAATGAACACTCAGCCGCCCATCGAGTATACCGGGGCTGCAACAGCAAGTGAGTAGACCAACCGCACCAAAATCCACCAGAAGCTTGTAAACAGTCCCCAATGCCTGGAAGCCAGTAGATCAGTTGGTTTATGCAGGCTTCTACAAAGGTATTGAATGCCGGATCAACGGATGGATTTCAGTCAATCTAATATTGCGTTCAATGGCTGGAACTCCTTACCTCCGTAATCATTTCCGGCGGCTTCAACACCCCATCCATCCTCTTCTAGATGGAAGAGAGGCACTTTAGATACTTCAGTTAGAAGTCGAGGGATCAAGTTAAGACCGCCGGCCCACTAGAAAAAGTGGGTGATGATGGGGACCTGGCAGAAATGCATCGCGCCTTGACCAGGCTCTGACAACGCTGGCTACTTTGAGAATTTATGCATCCAACCTCCCTTTGGCCTCACTGACTGCACAGTAATAACTTTCTCCACGATTACTAAGGAGGCCCTGCAACAGGAGACACCCAACACATTCCCCGCCACAGCAAGGCCAACTACGAGGCCATGAGAGGCTACCTCATGAATGCATCATGGCCGGTAGACGACCCATCCCACAGCAGATGAACATCGGATATAGGAGAAGAAAGTAACCGTTGGGGCCATCAGTCGCAGTGCATCAGAGGTAACATGCAGACCATCAACGATAATCTGACGACTTAAGCGTGGGACAGAGAAGCTAATTCAGGGCAAGAAGCAGGCTTGGTTGAAGTGGCATTCATCACGCAGGAAGTCCGACTTTTTGAGCTACAGAAGGATTCTCAACCACCGTAGCATAAGAATACATAGCGACAGGTTCGCTTATCAAACAAATCTGTTGGGAAGGTTGCAAAACAATCGCAAAAGCCTACACTACTTCATGTCAAAAAGGAAGTCGACCAGCAGGGGAGCGAATCCTATCGAACGTTCTAATGGGTGTGCTAAGCATCCTAGAGATTGCTGAGATTCTGAGCTCACACTTCCAAGCCCAACTTAGTACTGAAACTAAATCCACGCCGACTCGTCACGACACTGATCAGACCATAAAAAGCGAGTCTCTCTTTATACCCCAGTCACAATGAAAAAAGTGCCGGGGAAACTATCAAGAGTACGTCCAGGCAAGTCCCCTGGCTGCCACGGCCTACAGCCGGTAATCCTAAATCACACTGGGTGCTTGCAAAACCAATCGGTAACCTCTTCAAGCACCCTAAAGAGTCGTGCAAACTCCCTGAAGAATGGAAGATCGCCATCTTGTCACCTATCTTCAAGGGGGAGACAGAAAATGCCCTGGGGACTCTGGGCCAACTGCTCTGCTCCCTATAGTGTCGAAAGTGTTAGAGAGACTGGTAGCTGAGACCATCTGGCAATTCCTTGACACCGTCCATGCTGCTCAGCGTGGGTTTCGGAGTGATTGCTCATGCGCCACCAACTTGCTAACCACCTGGGACAACTAAGTCCTCAGATGGGACAACGGAAAACCGGTACATGTTGTTTTTCTCGACATAGCCAAAACATTTGACAGTGTTCCATCCACATTCCTGCCCCAAAAGATTATGTCAGCATGTATAAGCGAGACCCTTCTCTTTTGGTTTAAGGAGTACCTAGAAGGGAGGCAGTTCTGCATCAAAGTAAACGGGATATAGTCTCAGTGGAAACCATCTGCGTCAGAAGTATCTCAAGCAGCAGTCCTAGGACCACTTCCCTTCCTCCTATTTGTTAGTGATCTGCCACACAAAATCTCCCCACCCATCTTCCTCTTCGCCGATAGCCTGAAAATTTGGAGGGTAGTGAACGAAGAGGCCGACTTTACAGCACCACAAAATGAGTTACAGCAACTCGAACTCTGGTCATCGGAGAGTGGCTTGAGCTTCAACCTAGAACGGTGCAAAGCAATGCCCATCGGTAAATATGAAGCAAGTTTGGACGACTTCCAGCACATGTTGAGTAACCATGCTATCACCAGAGTATCCAAGGAAAAGGATTTCGGGCTCAACTTCTCCTACACCTTGGACGCTAGCTCCAACTACAAAGACATGTCAACCAGAGCGAATGCAATTTCACACTTTCTGCGTAGAGAGTCCAGCGCCCCCACCCCTGAGATCTTCCTCACAGTTTTCATATTCTACGTGTGGCCGCACCTGGAGGTCTTCAGTGTGGTGGCTCCCTGAATACTCAAGAAAGGCTCCAGCCTCCTCGAAAAAATACAAAGATCTGCAAGGAAATCAGTTGTGGGGCCTAGGTGGGAAGGCATACCCTGAAGGGCTAATACACCTGAACCTATTCACCTTGGGTTATCTCGGGAAGAGAGGTGGCCCTGTTACGGCTTACAAGGTCGCCCATTAGGCAAACGTACAAACAGATTAACCTTGCCCGCAACACAGCAGTCATCACGAGGAAACTCCATTAGGATAGAACATCAGAGAGCCAATGACACGCTCGGGTTCAACGTTTTCTCCATGAGATCATGTGTCTAAAGAGATTCCGTACTGCGATATATTGTAACAGCCCCCTCAGTCGACTCATCGGAGAAACAGATAGACAGTTACGTCACCTCACATGGTCTACCACGGATGTACTCGGGGGTCACTAACCTCACTAGACCACCCCCATTTCCCTTCTACCTACCGCCCACTATCTCTCTCCCAAATACATCCACATTACCCACTAATTCTCCTATAGATAATAGATCTACGCCATCTACATTTACCTTCCAGGTAACCCCCTCATACTTTCTTTCTTTATTTTCTTTCCTTTGCCCTTCTTTTCCGTCTTTACCACCACCTTACTATCCTCATTCGGGTACCTACACAGGTAGGAGTCACAATAGTCCCTTAACCCTTCCCGGCAACCCTTAGCTCCTCAATCACTACAATTTGCAACTTACTAACCCACAAAACATCCATCTCACCGGAGCTAAAATAAAGACAAAGAAGATTTCCCTGTTTGCTCCGGGAATGAACTGAACAAGTCTAACCAAGCCCTAAGAACTGGACGCGAGAGAGCAAAATCTACTAGTTTTCGAAGCTGCACTTTAAAATATTGGATATTGGAAGTAATGACAGCTCTTTCGGTGAATTCCCTGAAGAAGAAACTAGATCTTCCCAAGGGTTTCTAATATAAACATTGAATGAATCGGTTTACTGTTAATTTACTAAAGACTAATGTTGTTTTGGTTGTCTGTTAAAGACACAAGAGCTTTGACCTTGATACTTTTCAAAAGTTAGTTGTTTTTTTTTAACTTCTTAACTTTTTTAACATGTATTGTTGTTTGTAAAAATAACCGTGTTGTGTTCATATAAGTAAGACAGGCAGACAGTTGAAAAATTTCATTATAGCTTATTATTGTTTTTTTCGATAGGTATTGCAGAACTCTTGCATACACGATTTGTTTGTATCAAGACAAGTTTAAACATACGTTCAGCGACGCCTGGCTTGAGCTCATCTAGCTGGGACACAGACTAGTTCATCATAACCAACTGAAGTCGCATCAATCCAACACCGGCCTCCACATCACCTTCACTTACGATCATTATGAACTCAACTTAGAAGTCTGGTTCATCCAGTCGGGAAAATAATTGGGTGCAGGTTGGGGTTTTTGGGTCATTCCTGAATTGAAATTGAAGTGCGCCTTAAAATTTCTGGATGCGTCCCCGAAATTGATTACATTTCACAAAACTCCAGTCTGCAGCACGCCTCTAAACGTTTTTGACACTTTTGGGAATGAGGATGCATTCATTGTCTGCAGTGCATCCATAGTGTCAGCTGGCTGGGTATAGTGACTTAATACGAATATTGAGTTGTGTAAATCCCATAAATCCGAGTAAGGATACTAGACGTTTTTATCCTCCAGGTACAATCTCACTAATAATATCATTACTCTTCCTATCTTTATCATGCCTACTGTAATCTTTCCTTTTTCTTTCGCCCCCTCTAAATCTCTTCTATTTAACCCTGCCCTATCAAGCTCTCTTTGTCGCTCTTTTTTTCCCCGTCCTCCCCGGATTTACCTAGATTTTTTCTATCCTTTCAGTTATTTTTATTCCTTGGGCCTTCTCTCGTTTTCTCTCATTTTTTCTTTTGGTTTCCTTTTCATTCTCATCTTTATTCTGAGACCAGTCTGGTGTCACAATATCTACGGAACCCATCTGTGCCACAGTTCCAGGGCAAATCATACACCTCTGCAAATTTAACCAACACTCAGCCATCCATCCAGCCTGACAGTGCTACAGCAATCGACTGTGTGGATATGCTGCATTGGAATCCACCAAAGACCTGAGAGCGAGCGCTATGAAATCGGTTAGTCTATACAAGCTGGTAAAATAGATGTTAAATCATGGTAGTTTCGCAGTGTCATTCAACTCTATCCTTGAAGTCATCACATTTGCACGTTACGGCGATATCATGCTCATATTACTGTTTGTTGGATTGGTGAGAAAATTCTCTAGCCCATTGATCAGAGTTTCAGCTTACTGGGCATTATAGTGTGCAGTTATTGTTGATAATTGAAGCCTGATTTCTGGATGACGAAAATTTTTAGCCTGGTAATTAGTTATGAAAATTGCAGTGGGAAAATGTTTCGAATAACTGGTTTCTGACTGAGGTAGAAAAACTTAAAATGTCAATCTTAAGCCTGGTAAACTGACACGACATATTAGTCTTGTCTCATCACTGCATTCTGTTTGTCCTGCAATAATTCCCCGAGAATTCATGGTTCGTAGTCGTGTGTTTATAAACACCAGAAGTTTGGAAACTTAAGGGAAGTGGTAAAGTTTTTAGTTGTGCGAATGCATCTTCGTTCTTCAAAAACCAATAAACTTGCGTTTCGTCATTCCATTGGCTTAAAACCGTTCGTTTGCGTAATTGTACCACTATGAAGCGTGGTAACAATGGTACACAGATTTTTGACTTCCTGTGTTGCATGGTTAAAAATGGTATCCTAATGTTACAACTAAAGAGTAGAAATTTCAGTCTAGCCTTCCTAGATTTCTCTACATCATCCTCAGTTATGTGACGATGTATCCGGGTAATTTCAGCTGCCACTGATTTCCCCATTGTTAATACTTTGCAGGTCACCATAATTGACTTAGTGGTGATATTCATTAATTACATTTTCGAAAGGATTCAGACATTATTATTTAACTCTTTGGAATAAATATTATTACTGTTGCATCGGATACCTTCTGTATATTGCAGATAAAATTGATGGACAGGTAAGGAAATATTCTTTATTTTGTTATGCCTGTTGTAAACCGTTGCGTGAACTAATCTTTGACAAAGTTGTTTTACAGCTTTTGGACTGAGTTACTTTGAATGATGAGTATTTAGACTGCGAATGGGCAGAAAAGCAATTATCATCTGTATAAATTAATTCCTAAAGTGAACAAGCATGCGCTTGATAGGTAACAAAACATCGTAGTTATACTCATGTCGATGTATTCATTCAGGTATATGGAGTCTGCTGCTTAAACAGCATTGTAGACAGTTTACGGAAAATGGAGGCTTTAAAAAATTTGGTAGATCTTTTCACGTTTGTTCAAAGTAATTGGCACTAGGTTATTCATTCCACTTAATTTGTCTTCACAAACGTAGGTTATGAATATTGATCAATAACCGTAAACGTAATCCCAGTCGATTGTAGAAACCGACTTAAAGGATACTTTTTAAGAATATCTTGTCTGTCATATTATTGCTTCACTAAAATTTCCATTAATCCCATCCCATTGATTCTGGTTGTTCATGATTGCAGTTTATATTAAAAAAAACACGTCGCTATGAGGTAAACATTTGTTACATGCGAATATCTCACTGCTAAAATCGTAGCCGAAGATGTGACTGTATGAGAGTTGTTTTCTGAGCAGACACAGATACGTCTGTTTTATGTGAAAAAACAGGAGAATTTTAGTCATATTAATACGGTTGATCGCTTTATTTATATTGAAGATAAGACCACCTATTATAATCAACAGGTTAGAGAAATTTCGGTACATATTCATAAGGTTCGTTTGATTCTTAACCACTCCACTGGTGATGCTCGTAAGATATCCATGTTTACGTCAGCAACCGAATATACAACAATAATATGCTTTTTCTGTCTTATAACTGTAAAATAAGGTCGTTAGGTGGGAATTATATCAAAAATGCTTCAAGGTTTTGACAATTCAAATTCAAAGCACTTCTGGCATGTGGTCGAGGTATTTAATGAACAGGATTCAATTTTTTTTTTTAAGGAATCTAAGGTAAATCACTGAATTAGTTGATGAATGTCCATCTGTCGGCGTTACTGAACTCCGTTTCACTGCTTAAGTCAGACTGCTTCGGTTCATTTCGCTATTCGGAAAAAGAATTACATTTTAATGTAAAAATACCAAAATGTGAACTTAATCTGTAATAAGTAGTAATGTAAATAGAAATAAATATCTACAATACTACTACAGTTATTTCAGACACTTTCTTACCTAATTGTTTTTCCCCGTTTAACCCCAGCTTATATTACCAATGTGAAATCGAGAGTTTACGATCAGACTTAACAACAGCACATAGCATTGCAACTGAATTGGAAGCAAAACTAAATGATTTACGCACGAAATATGATACGGATTGTTGTAACTATGAAGAGAAGATTCAAATATTAACAGAACGACATGAAAGGTTAGGCTGTTTTCCATCATTTGTTGTTTGTATCAATCCCTATTTTGATTGAGATGTGAAAAAGCAGTGAAATAAATCGGCTATGAATTCAACATTTAGGCTTGTATCAAAAAACTAATCAAGACTTCAAGTGAGCTAACGAGGATGCTGCAGTATGACTACATAGCAGTCATTTAATTGTCCATATTTCTTTGGAAAATTTAATTTATTCGACATATATTAAAGAAATATTAGTTTCATTGCTTTCATTGTACTACCACTCTGTTTATATTTCTGTTATCGCCACTATTACCCACCTCATACTCGTAATTAAGGCTTATTTCACCTTGCCGTTGTATTTATGTGATTTATCATTGCGTCAATCATGACTTTTCTCCTGATGTTTGCATGTAAATATATGAACTTCCAATCAGTCGTATCACAACTAAGTACCTACTAGGTATATATTGCAACTGTGGTGAATTCTTTTGGTCTCATTCAATTACGTCTACTGATTATATTTGTTTCAACCACGACTATTTAATTTTTCATGCCAGGTATTTTATGATAGCATTCATTGACTGAGTATATTTTTAAAATATCTAATCGAAATGTTCAAACCACTGAATTACTCAGTAGTTTTTCACGTTCAAGTATTTAGGTCACAAAAATAAAACTTCCACGTTAAAGTACTGCTTAGTCGCTAAATAAGTAAGCAAACGTTTCTAGTGAACCGTTTAGGGAAATGTAGACTACTAACAATATGACTGTAAGATCGAGGAAAATGGCACAGACGTGTATTTCTTTTCGAATATTTCGCTAACCTTCATTGTCCGAACACTTTCTCTTCCCATTCACTTATCTACTTTACTATAACATTTTGTATTCAGATGTTCTTTGTATGCTACTGTGAAATGTGGCAACTTGAACCGATGGATCTCTGGGTGATATCCTACGTTGATTTTGTATGTCTTTTTGGCCATGCGTTTATAGCTTCTGACAGGGAAGTCGTACTTAATACAATAAAGTGGGGCTATTTCCGCGAAAGTAAAAAGTCAAAAGCGAATGTCTGGAGCTTGTTAACAGTTTGTTAGATGTGGAGGGTATACCGAGAGGAGTTGGTGAATCCTCATTTTAAAAACGTAGTGTGCATGGGCTCCTTAATCCATATAGGATGAGTGATTTATGAACTTACTTCGCTCATCAGTAATTATAAGAATGCAGCGTATGACGTTGCTAAGGTACTTTGCGGACCAGGTCTATTAAGCCAAAGGACTGTAATATATTACCCTAAGATAATTATTTATTTCAATCTGGGCACTTTGGAAATGTCCAAGTCCTCATACAAACCGCGGAACAACATCTAAAATAGGAACTTAGAAGAGTTTGCTAAGTCTTCCTGCAAGAAACCAAGTCTTGGATTCATTGTTGGCTTGTTTGCTTGATATCTAAACTAAAGTAATGTGGCTGTACAGATTAGTATGTGCGTTCAAGTGTACTTAGTTTACTCCTACGTATTAAATAACTTAAGTCGAGCTTTGCTTACTTTGATAATTCATTCGTAATAGAAGTAAAGGAAACGTGAGTGCCGATCGTATTTTTATGCTTATCAATAATGGGATGCTTGTCAATTCTGTAGCAACTTTATCATAGACCTACTTATAGATATATCCTTATTTTTTTTGAATGCACAGAAATCGACTTGGTTGCAGGAGATTCCTTAATAGGTTTATAATACGCAGAAGAATATTTCTGTTAAGTAAAGATACCGAGATGATGTACAGTTTTCTAGACACCTTGAGTGACAATTTGACAATATTTGGGATGCGTTTCCCACCACTCAGATGCAAGTTGTTGTTCCAGGACTGGTCTATGTTGGTTAAGTGGCTGGCCACAATAACCACTTCACGCACCTGAGAAGTTGGGTCAGCCCTGGTGCGTCGGCAGCCGACAAAATCTTGGCACAAATACTTAAGGAGTAATTGACCTTTGCCAACTTTCGTCATGTATGACACGGACATGATAACTCACAGCCTATTTAAGAGCCAAGTGTCACTGCACGCTCCCACCATTATTGTTTAATTTATTTTATGTGAAGATGCTGACAAAATGCAGGGTCTTGTGAATACTTTGAGCAGAGGTCTGAGTATTTTTGGCATTCGCTTTGCACTAGTCGAGTGTTATATGGTACTTCAGGACTGGTGTGCAACTAATATGAGTTTCAGTATAAGGAGTGAAGTACTTAAATGTGTTGACCATTTCACTTGGTGAGTTCGTTGGACATTTTCCAGTATGCCGACTGGTGAGAAATCGGACTGCGTATTAAAGGAAGAGTCTGCTGTGCTGGAGTCGGCTCTGACATTTTGGATCTGTGGTCTCTCAAGGTAGAGGATGTGAAGAGATGATATGGTCATATGTTCTCGGCGTTTTCCTAACATATTGTGGAATTGATGTGTGGGCAGTATGGAGGTTAGGTGTTGGGTACTAGGCAGGTCAGTCCATGAAGTTTTGAATCTTCCCGTACTCAGATGGTTTTGACACTGCCTTATTTAAAGTGCTATATGTCTGAAAAGGCTTTGGGTTAAAAGAAAGCTTAAATTGGCTAGATCGTGACTACACATCAGTCGGTGGATGCTTAGTCTGCTGTTCTCAGCCGTGTAGGGAGATGTTGGCTGTCTGGTGACAGGACTAAAATTGGGTGGCAGCAGCGTATATGTGTTCACTCTTTGACGCCTTTTAAAGCTTGAACATTTTCTCCTACCAGAAATTTCTGTCTAGCTTGTACCTACTCGTTCTTCGTATGCTTATCTTAGGTGCGGGAACTTGAACCGATACCTTTCTGTGCGAAGTTTAAGTGTAATCTGTGTGTCTGTGCTTCCTTTGCCATCTTTCCCCACTTTTGACTAGCTTCTTCATTGTTTCGCTTTCAAATTGGTGCCTCCTCGCACGGTGTGTTGATGTCTAGTGTGGCAACTTGGACCGCCATGCAGTAATGCAATTCGATTTCATCGCGGTAACTAAGTAGTTGAGAATCTAGTTCTCAGACTGTCCATACCAGAAAGGCAGACATGAATTCGAGATACATAAGTTTTAGGTACAAATTTACCAATATTCTCATTCGTCATTGGTATGCAGTTCTCGTAAATTTCATCTCTGAACGTGTCAACTTATCTTGCTTGAATTATTGACATTCACACTATTCCTTAACCATATGATGCCTTACTACTTCTTGACTCATCCTAAAATACTTAATACAACATCATTGATGTATTTCTGTGCGTTTTACTAAACAGTAAGTAGTTAGAAGTAAAAAGTAGGAAACCAGTCCAATCTTTTGACGGTTTTGAAATAGTCGGAAAGTTTAATATTGCAGATGTAATCTTGGCTGATGAGCTAAAACCTAATGACACCATAAATATTGATCAACAAAACTAGCTTGAAGCTATCAACTTGAGAATAATATACAGTCATTGATTTGAATAACAAAACATGTAGCAGTACATATATCCTTGGATATTTATTTTGGTCTTTGCTTCATTGAGCCTTGCTCTGTACTTTAGATAATCATTAAGGATCTTTAACACACTTCGGTGCTCTGAAGATTTCCTTGAATCTGTTGAAAAGATTTCGGATCTGAAAGTAGATAATAAGTTCATGGTATTGTGTGCTATTTCATATCTTTTTTTATTAACGTCCCTTTAATTGAAACAGTTAGACTTGTTTGCAGTGAATTGACCAAGGATGCCATGAAAATAGGTATTTCTGTGTCCACCTTGAAATTACTGCTTTTGAGATGTACCGTAAATGAACACTTCCTTTTCAACAATAACTTCTACAGGCAATCTGGTTGATGTGGCTAACGAATCATCCCTTAACCCTATCTTAGCAGATCTTTTTCTGACAAAACCAGAGAATGTTCCTCTGAATGAAACGATCAACCGCTTGGAATTATATCGTCGTTACACAGATAATATAGTTCTCAAAAATGATATTTATTAGAATACTGTTCTTAATAAGTTGAATAGTGTTCATCTAGAAATCAAATTCACAGTAGAATAGGGAAAAATGACAGTATCCTATTTCTTGATGTTCTGCTGATAAGAAGGTTAGATGGAACTCTGAAACGACGTATATATAGGCAACATCGACTGGTCAGTACATGCACTTCTTTAGTGGCTTACCCCTTCAATACAAGAGTGACCTGGTATGATGCTTAGTGTATCGTGCAACAGCCATTTAATCTGGTGATGTTATAAAGAAAAAGTTCGCCACCTCCCATGACGTTCTCTTACGAAGGTTAAGCCAAGAATGCTAACAGTTCCTAAGAAATAAATCTTCTTGAACTGGAATTCAAACCTGACATTTTTAGTGAGATCATCACACAACACGTAAAAAGGGTCCTACAAAGAGCATTCACAGCTACTATCCTGTCTTCTGCAACCACTCGACTATAGGTACAAGAAACAAAGATGGACTGCCTAGTTCTGCCACTTTCATGTACATTTATGAGTTCAACTGCTCCTTCCTGTAAAGCTAGTTACATAGGGTGTATGATGAGGTAAGTCGATCGTAGAATTTCTGAACAAAACTCCATACATCAAGTGGATACTAGCAAAGTATTTAAAATTATTTACCGTATGCCAATTAAATTTACTGCATGGATTATGCATTTGTCTACTTCACATAACAAAGGCGATTGCAATCCACCTTTGCAAACCTAACCTCTGTATTCCAAAAAATTTCTCCAGTCACCTGCATTACCATGGCCATCAACATGATGTAACTTCTAGTATTACTCTGTACGCCTCTTCCCCTTGTTTTGTCTATATTCTTTCGTTCCCTTTTTGTAAGAATATGTAATATTCATTTGTTTTCTTGCTATTACGTAATTATTTGTTGCTTATGTCTGAACACTCGTCAAAAATTACTCCATTTGCCTAAGAATAACCTGTTTCACGTTACCAACTTTAATTACTCTACTGATTACTTACATCTTAATTTCTAAAACTTACCATCTTCATGACTCACTTAAAACCTATAATTATTGTTCACCCACTACTCGATTGATATTTCAATTGCATTGTAAAATTACATATAAGTATAGAGTCAAGGATAAAGACGTGACTAATAAGAAATATGTTTCTCCGCCCAATCAGTCTGTTTTTTAAACAGTCAGAAAAAAGACTGATCGAGCAAAGAAATATATTCCTTTTCACTCAAGTCTTCATCTTTGAATACACTTATATATAGTTTTACACTCCAATCAGAATACCAATCGAGTGGTGGGGGGTGGTGAACAATAGTTGTAGGTGTTAAGTGAGTCATGAAGATGGTAAGTTTTAGAAATTAAGATGTAAATAATCAATAGAGTTATTACTATTTATTGATATACTTGTAGTTCTCCGTTGTTTTATTGGATTGAATTGTTTGACATCTGTTGTCATATGCGCCCCTATGCGGATGCCTTGATATTGCCTGAGTATGGCAATTTGGTTGTGGCTAGCAGAGGAATCCAGGACATGCGTTTCGTCCTACTTAGGACCCGTCACCTGGATATGCCTGCACCTCAGTGAGTTATTAAAATAGGAAATATGAAGCAGGTTATTCTTAAGTAAACGGAGTGATTTCTGATGTGTTCTATCATAAACAATAGACAATTACGTAATAAGAAAACAAATGAATATTAATGGAAACAAGAAGGGGAAAAGGTGTAAAAGGTATTACTAGAAGTTCCATTATTTTGATGGCCGCGTAGTGAGAGTGGTCGACCAATTTCTTTTGAATACAAAGGTTAGGTTTGCAAAGGTGGATTGCAGTTGCCTGTACTATGTGAAGTAAGTGAGTGCGTAATCATTATTTTATTATTATTAATCCCCTGGGTTCTTAGTGGACATAGGGCTTCAGTAGCACTTCGCCATTTCACTCTCTTCTATGCAGTCTTGTCTACCTGGCTCCACGACTCCCCAAAAACTTTCATTTCTTCCTCACACCATCTCCTCCATGTCACCTCAGACGCCCAATTCGTCGTTTCCCATTTGGATTCCACTCGAGGACCCGGCGTGGTGCGTGATGTCCCCGAATGGCCTTCCCAGTGTATGTCCAATCCAATCCATCTCCACTTTCTTCCTCTGTATATTTGTTGGACGATGGGTTCTTGGTTGGTTCGTTGCCAGCCAGCCAGCCACAGCGAGTTCCTTGTTGCTTATTCTTTCTGGCCTTCTCATCTGATCTCATCTTCAGTATCGAGTGAGCGTAGACGGCAGCTGTTCATGTATGATGTGTGCAGTTTGTAGGAAATACTTTCGTGACATGCCAAGTCCCTGAACCATCACATGGAAACACTGACTTGACTGACATTAGTGTTGAAAATGGGGATCTCGTTCAAGCTTTATGCTGAGTGCAGTGCAGTGCAGTGCAGTGTAGTGCAGTAGATCTCCATAGTGATTTCAGATTGATGAAGGCCTGTCTTGCTATCTTTCGGATTCTGGGATTGACATGCTAATCTGTGCCACCACCTGTAGTTGAAACGATGCTGCCTAAGTGGGTAGTTAGGTGAAATAAACTACTTCCTTTAGATTTCTCCTACTGATGGTGATTGGTGCTTGTTGTTGTTGTTGGTTGCATATCTTCATCACCACTGTCTTCTCTACATTCACTTGAAGTCCTATCCTAGCTGCCTCTTCTGTCAACTTGCTGGTTTTCGCCTATAGATCTTCGAGTTTGTGTGAAAAGACATTAGACATAAATCATCATCGGTGGCGAAATCTAATCTTCTAGGCTATTTTCATCCGTCAAACAGCGTATACCTCTCTCTTCTCCCTCCTCACAATTGTCTGTTGCATGATCCAGTTCAGTCGAGTCAACCACAATCAGAAAGATCATCAGTGATAGAAGATGGCAACCTTGTCTTACTCATTCAACTGCCTCCAACCAACTGATATCGATTTAAGTGAACCGCCATTTTGAGCCTCTTAGTTTGGTGGCTATGTTGCAAAGTGGTCGATAGAATTCGGTCATTCATCACTCAGGACAAAAAAGCTATATAGTCCTACAGGAGATTTGTCGCGGCGCGAATCGCTTATTAGTAATGTCTCTGATCGCAACACTATGTGACGCGGATTCGATTCTCAGGGTTTGCAGATATACGCCTTACCGAGCTTCCTGCTGATTGCCTTCAACCAAATAGCATAGCGACGAAGTTTTTTATTGTAAAACTTGAGTCTAACATGTTAAACTGAATATCAACTCAATTTCAAACGATATACTTTATAAGATAATACACTAACCAACTACTATAATCGGTAATTTAATCGTGATTATTGAAATACGTGACTGATCACGGCAATTGTTCACCTCTGATATTTGTATACATGAACGGCTATTGATTACGCATTAAAATGTATGAAAACATTATGAATACATCCTGTTAAAAAAAACAACTCAGTTGCAGCAGTGTTTTCTCATCTTTTTTTCACTGCTTAGTTTTCTTTAATCTCTTTTGTGAATTGAACTACATATGTATTTAAAGTATGCATATTGTTATTTGTATTGTCCTTTTTATAGACTGGTGTCAAGTCATCAACGTTTGAGTAAACTCAATCATGAATTAGAAGAAAAGCTTTTGGATACTGTAAGTATGGTTCTGACAAGTATTTCTTTACAAACACACACACACACTCTATTGTTTCACTTTAAATAATAGACTGTGTCATATACGAGTTTTCGGTGTTACTACTGCGTCATATAAGTTTACTAGAGCCTCCTTGGAAGTTGCATATGTTTATTTTAGTATTTTACCTCAAAAACATCCAACACTAGAATGAAATGAATAATTAAGTATAAATGTATTCCCTTAATTATACACCATCCATTGTTTTTAGACTAAGGATTAATTCTGTGGGATTACTCAGACAGAGGTAAACAAAGATTGGATTTACATTCACATATCTATTGGTTCAGAGTAGACTGCATTAACTGCAGAAGCACAATGTAACCCATAAATCTATACCTGATCGGTTTGGATATTCAATCTCATTCCACTGGAGCTGTGGCTCATTGGTCTAAGCACTCGACTTTAAAGTGATGAGTCACGGGGTTCAGCAGTCATTTTGTATCATTAATCCTTCACACATTCAGTTTATCTGATTGCTCAGGTCACGAATATAGATTCAGTCACCGGGGTTACATCTATTTCATTTCATTACATACACTAAGTAACTATCAAGTCAATAGAACGGTTAACTGAGAACGAGTCACATCGTTGTTATGAAAGCAAATCACTTATCCATCTACGAAAATAAGTCTACTTGAAATTTGTGCTGATGTGTTGCCGTAGAATACCAGTGATGCTTCACCACTGAACCATCCGCTTCACTTACCTGGAAAGTGGGATCAACCCTGGTGTGTTGGTCAGTGGCCGATGAAATCTCTGCACGAATACAAAGGGCTCGGTTGGCTTTCGTCAACTTACGTGACCTGTGACGCCGCCGTGATACCGGGTTGTTTTTTAAGGGTTGTATATACTGCACAGCACTGCGGTCTGTTCCACTGTATGGCTATGAAACATGGCCATTGAAGGTGGAAGACATGAGAAGGCTTCAAGTGTTTGACCACCGTTGCCTTCGTAGTATAGACCGTATTCCGTGGTGTCACCGCGTGAGTAACTCAGAAGTCAGGTGTAAAGTTTTAGGGAGAAGAGGTAAGTCAGTTGACACGGTTGTGAACCTTCATCGACAGAGATGGCTGTCTCAGATATGTGTTACGCATGTCTAGTCGCCGATTGCCTCGTCATACGATGTTGACCGAAGTCGGTTTAGGCTGGAAAAAGGCTCTAGGTGGCTAGACTAAGACATGCACCAATGTATGCAGTGTTTGACTGTTGGTTTGAGCCATGTGGGTTGATGCAGACTAAGTGGTTGGGGTCGGTGGGACAAGAGAAACCAGTGGTTGGAGATTATCTCCAGGTGATATGAATCAGAACCGAAGTCAGTGGTGCAGATGTATACATACATTATCCTCATCTTAATGACGCTATGCCAAATCTCACCATTTTCTCATTCTTCCCTTCTCTCTTTTAATACTTTGTATTTGTTTTGACTGAATTTTCTTTTCTTCATCTTCCACTTCAATGTTCTTTTACTTGATGTACTGATATGAGGTGTGGCAAATTGTACTGTTACGCAGTAATGCCTGATTCTATGTTGATTTGGATGGATGCATTTGAACTGCTATATATCCATCTGGATGCATGTCACTAATGAGCATTTTACAGTAATTTAATGTCGAGATGAATGGGGATTTTAATTCAGAGGTAGCATCCATCACAGACCGCTATCAGTTGGGGAACCCAGGAGCACTGGACAGCTGTTTTGTCCTCGTATGGGACTCCTCAGTAGTACACGTCTAGATATCTGCTATTTGTATGCTTCACTTCCCGGTTACCACACTATATATATATATATATATATATATATATATATATATATATATATATATATATTAAAAAAATTATTTATATTAGCTTGAAGCCTTATGAGAGCTAATTGAAACAAATATTTTTATCGCTTATTTGTCTCTTTCTAATTCTGAAAATGGGAATTTTTAACATTTTTATGGAGAACTGTCATTTGAAGTGACGACAAGTAGTGGTGTCCTCCAGGGATACTGACTGCCACCATTCTCGTTCAACTTTTTTTAATTGATGTATTCATGGATATAATGTTAGATACTTGTGAATTCACTGGGGTTCTCCTAATCTCTGGAGGTCAGCTGGTTGACTTGGAGTATGCACACAGCATTAGGCGAAGATACTGACAAAACCCAGGGTCTTGTGAATGCTTTGAGCAGAGACCTGAGTATATTCCGCATTCGTTTCGCACTTTTCGAGTGTAATATGTTGCTTTAGGACGAGAGTGCAGCTACTTGCTTTTTGAGGATAGGAAATGAAGTGTTGGTATGTGTTAGCCAGTCCACTTACTTGGTATGTTCGTTTCACACTTTACAGTGTGCATCATCTATGGCCCCGAGTGATGAGATATCCCAGTGTGTATTAGGAAACGACTAAACTGCACGGCAGTGTGTTCTGCAGTATTATAGAGATATGGGCTCTGAAAATCGAGGATGTGAAGAGATGACATGATCACTGGTGTTTTCGTGGGATTCCTAACGTATTGTCGAATTAATGTATGAGCAGTAAGGAGGTTAGGTGTAGGGTACTACTAAAGTTAGGCAATTTAGTTGGTGAGCTTCTAAATCTCTGAATGAATGAGCTTGAACTTGTATCACTTATGCTGAGCTTTCACCTATTTTTATGTGCCATTTGGCTGAAGTATAACTGGATCTGATAAAGGCTCGGGGTGGTCAGACCAAGAAGCGTCCACATTCCACGTACTTTATGGCTATTGGTTGGAGCCGTGTAGGGGGTGTAGCTTGTCTAATTGGAGATCTAGAGACGATGTAAATCAACGGTTTAAAATTCTCATCGATATGACTGATAATGGATCACAATGGTTCAGATGTGGACACCCTCTATCATCTTCAAAATCTTGAACATCTTTGTTAAACTTCATCTATTTATTTGTCCATCTTAATATCATCCTTCGATAAACTTCCTCACCTAGTTCACTAGCCGGTCCTAAGCCCTGAAAAAGAGGGAAGGTTGGGCATGGGGCTAGTGACCCCTACCCCAGGAAATCAATCCAGTCGCTAAAGTAACTTCAAAGAAAATATAAAAATTAAAAATAAACTTATTCCTCGCTAGAATCGTTTAGACGAGATAACGCCGGTTTGTGAAAGCTTTCAGCGGGCCGATGTGTCTTCTCGCGATGAAACTGGAAGTAAGCATAATGACATGGATTGTCCACACGATGTTTGAAGCTAGCAAGGCTGCCCAGATTGCAAGAAACATGAGAAGGTATAGCATCGAAGTGCTAGGAATCTGCGGAAGCAGATGGAATGGAAGTGGACTCTGCAAACTGTTAACTGGAGAGTCAATAATCTACTCCGATACTGTCACCCAGATGACAACCACGAGCACACTGAGTTTAAGAGTGGCTATCATGATGTCCCCAACAGCATCAAAGGCTCTCACGCAATGAGAACAAATCTCCTCCTGTAGGATCATAACAGCAAGCTTCAATTCAAAAGGAAGGGAGGTCACAATCATACAACACTACGCTTTGCACCTACGAATAATGCAGATGAAGAGAAGAAGGAGAAATTCCTTGGACAACTGCAATCGGTACTGCACAGGACTCCACCCGAGATGGCGACATCAAAATTGTAATGGGTGGGGTGACATGAATGCCAAACTGGGAGTGGACAGCACAGGAAGAGAACTGATCCGTTGGTCGAGAAGCACTCGGTGAAATAAACGAGAAAAGAGAACTGTTTGCAGACTTCTGTGCATTCAACGATTTGGTGATTGGAGGCAGTGTGTACAAGCACAAAGATATTGACAAAGCGAGCGACCTGGATTTGATTTCACCAGATGGACATATTACACTACAAATCAGATCGACTTCATTTGAATGTGAAGAAAGTGGAGATGCAGCAAGCCTACTGGACGCAAGATCAGATGAAGAAACGGGTGGGTGGGGGGTTGGCAGATGTAAGTTCACACCATCCACTATCTAGTGCGAGTAGTCTGCCATCGAAATCAAGTTGAAAGCCCTCAAAGAAGTTGGTGATAGACGACCACAGTTCAAGTTGAACACCGAGAACACAAACTGAAGGACGAAACTACAAAGGACATCTTCACGTCATTCAGCCATCAGGACAAATTAGGAGATATTAAGGAAAATCCCTGAAGAAACCTGTGTAGAAGACCACTGGAAATCTTTGAAAGCTACGTGGAAAGAAACCTGCATAACCGTGTAAGGAAGGAAGAAGAAGTAGGGAGACAAGGAATGGATCTCGAGGGACGTCCACATGGGAGCTGATAGAGTAGGGAGAGGGAGATGGTGAAGCAGAAGATGAACCAGTGCATTGCAGTGCATGGATGAACAACGTGAAGAGGAACTGAACACAAACTATAAAACACTGGACAAGGGAGTGAAGAAGAGTGAGCGTGATGACAAAAGACACTTTAGGATATACTGGCAAGTGAAGCAGAACAGGCTGCAGGTAAGAGAGTCCTGACAGAGCTATATCAAATAAGCAGGGTACTCTATCTGGGATGGAAGAGATCAACACAGATGAAACCAATGAAAGAGAGGAGGTGAAGGAAAGCTAGTTACCAAAGAGAGAGGAGAAACGAAGGAAACGATGGGCTGACCACTTCACTAAACTCTTGAATCGACCACCACCACCACGACCATCTGTAACTCACCCAGAAATACAACCAGCAGCTCAGCCACAGAACTATCAGTGAACACAAGCCCTGCGACAAAAGCCGAAGTGAAGTCCTGAATGCCATAAAGTTACTGAAATCCGGGGAAGCAACAGGTCGAAATGGAATTCCTTCAGAAGCACTGAAAACAGAGGCAGAGACAACAGCGGACATTAGTGTAGATGGTTTCGGAGGAAGGAAGGAAGGAAGGAAGTAAAGGTACTTGCCTATTGATTGAGAGAAAAGCTACCTTGTCAAAATCGCAAAGAATGGTGATCGACCTAAGTCTTTGCAAGAACTGA